GTCTGTTTGTGCCTCTTCCCTCCAGGGAAAGGTACAGGAGTATAAAGACTAAAACAAACAGACTGAGACACAGCTTCTTCCCCAGAGCTGTGAAATCAATCACCCCCCTAACAGCTGGTCACACACACAACCTCCCCCCTATGGACAAACACAGAACACTGGACCTCACACCTCTTCCTAAAGACTGAGATTTGCACTGAGCTGCACGTTATAATGTTACTACACTCTTGCTGCGAACATGCTGCTGACCTGATTAGGTCCCATGCATCCCTTTTTATTTGGTCATATTTTTATATTGACTTATATAATTGTTTGTTATGTAAATAATATATCTGTCTTTTAAGCTGAGACACACTATCAGAAAGACTATAAATAAATAAATATAAATGCTGATTGTCTAAAAACACCCTAATACACACACACACCCCAACACATATGAAACATTCTGTGGGACTGTTGCACGGGGACACAGTCGTGGGTGTAGAGCAGGGGACTCAGCACTCAAGGAATGTTAACAGCCAGTGAGATGGCTGGAAAGGTACACCGTGCATACCTGAGTGTTGACTGAGAATGCCTTTTACCCACCATGCATTCCTTTTTATTTGGTCATATTTTTATATTGACTTATACAATTGTGTGTTATGTAAATAATGTTTGTCTTTTAAGCTGAGAGCTGCCAGAAAAAATTTCGTTGTGCTAGGCATAATGACAATAAAGATTCTAAAGATTCTTGATACCAGCCCTCATCAGTGAGTCAGTTTGGGGTTTCATGAAAAGATTCGTAGGGATCATTTGTTTGTGTAACAGAATTAATCCTAGTAATAATTCTGGACTTCTACTTTGGTAGGATTTTGAATGCAAGACATTTACTTGTAATGTAGATCTTATACATCATTGTATTGATACTATCTGAATGTACAGTATACTCTGAGTTTCACCACTGGCGAGGGCATCCAGCTGAGCTGTGCAGCAGCTGTGCAGCAGGCTGACCTTTTTTCTATATGATCTTTAATGTTGTTACTGATGGCTGCAGGGCAGAAGTGTTGTCAAAGGAGGTGGATGTGTACAAAGTGAATTTTATCACATTAGGCATTCCACAGTGCTGAAGCTCAGAATACCTGAGCTGATCCAAATGCCAGACATGCTTCAGTGCTTCCAACCAGCCTGACTTATCATTGCACAAGGGCCTCACTGAATTTTTAGCCTTGAAACAGAGTTTCCTAATGAGGACAAGGTAAGAGACATTTAAGATGATTTTGTCATTATTAATTCCAGTTTGAACACATGATCATCCATGGGTGTGCTCATGTGGGTTCACTGGTGTCATCTTGTGAAAATAGCACCTGCTGTGCTCCACCTACAACAGATTGGCTGCAATTAAAAGAGGGTGCAGTAATTGGTGCTCAGTATGGGGAGGAGAAGTTGTTGTGCCACAGGTAGACTGCAGGTGTAAAAATGTCAACATGTAGAGTCAGGCAGCATGTTTTCCAGGTTTTACTGTTAGAAACAGATGTTATTACACTGTTGATGTGTTATTTAAGAACTGGTCTACGACATTTAGACTGGCTATGTTACAACCCAGGTATTCACATCACAATCTAGGGTTAGTTCAATTAACATTTCTGATGCATATGTGCACAGATGATAAAGATACATTGTGCTGAATTGCACTGAGCAGAGCACATGTAAATGGTACCCTCATCACATAAAACCGTATAAGGTGTAAATGGTAAGAATGGAAGTCTATTCTGCACAGCGGTGTGCCAAAAATGCAGTTTTACAGCATTCTCATTTGAGCACATGACACGGGACAGGGACTGCATCAAGACTCAAATGTTTTGGAACAACAACATCTAAGTCAAACAATGCAATATCAATCATAAAGTGAGAGGTGCATCATTATACAACATTCACTGGCTAAACTAGACAACAGGCTGGACTGTATATGCTACCTGGCCCAAGGCAGAACAATAAGACATTTTAAATCATACTGTTACTGTGATGTTTGTATAGTTTGGTGAAAACTAGCATGACTCATTTCAGGAAGTTGTGTATTGTGTTTGTGAGTTCTTGCAAAAAAAAAAAACAGGCTCTGTGATGAGATTCAACTCAAATACAAAAGAGAATCTCTCTGAGTAGAAGGAGGGAGTTGGATAAGATATTATAACATTTTTGTGGCATTCAAGTGATCCAGCAGTTTCAAAACTAATAGTCAATATTTGTTACATACAGTATATTGGCAATTTTACAGGTATACAGTATCAAGGACCGATATTGTACAATGTGAAAAGCACATCAGGTCAGTGGAACCTTTCACAACCTACAGCTCAATCACTATCATGCAAAAGTGTGAGGCCCATGGGTTGGTAATGGCAGATTAGAATATTAACAAAGACCTGTCTAAAACTTGGTTTAAGGCCACTTTCATGTGTGATCACATTTTGCAACATCTATGTCCTAAATCTGCTCAAAGAGCCAGAAATTTTCTTTGCTACTCATATAAACAAACACTACCAAATAAGCACATGCATGCAGCTTTTAAATCAGAATCAGAATCAGAATCAGCTTTATTGGCCAGGTGTGTTGGACACAGAGGAATTTGACTCTGGTACAGTGGCTCTCAATGTGTATGTACATATCCTCATGCAAGGGACAAGTAAACAGTAAACCAGCATAAGGCTGTGTAATATAACAAAATAATAATAATAATAATAAATGGCATTTACAGTATTGTTCAAAATAATAGCAGTACAATGTGACTAACCAGAATAATCCAGGTTTTTAGTATATTTTTTATGGCTACATGGCAAACAAGTTACCAGTAGGTGCAGTAGATTCTCAGAAAGCAAACAAGACCCAGCATTCATGATATGCACGCTCTTAAGGCTGTGCAATTG